TGGATCAAATGGTGGTTCCATTCCCAGCTGTCCAAGGATTCTCCATATTGCTTTCCAAATTGGCTGCACCAATATGCAGTCCCACCAGCATTGTATGAATGTACCTTTTTCACCATATCCTTGCCAGCACTTTTTGTTGTCTTTACAATGGCTACCACTCTTACTGGAGATGATGTCTTAGAGTAGTTTTAATTTGCATTTCTCTGGTTGCTAGAGATGATGAGCATTTTTTTCATATATTTGTTGATTGTATATCCTCTTCTGGGAAGTGTCTGTTCAGGTCCTTGGCCCATTTGTTGGATTATTTGTTTTGGGGGTGCTTATCTTGTTGAGCTCTTTATATACCCTAGAGAGTAGAGCTCTGATGTGTGAGCGTAAAAATTTGTTCCCAGGATATAGGTTCCCTGTTCACCTATATTTCTTTTGCTGAGAAAAAACTTTTTAGTTTGAATCCATCCCATTTGTTGATTCTTAGTTTAATTCTTGTGTTATAGGCGTCTTATTAAGGAAGTTGGGGCCTAGCCCCACGTGATGGAGATTTGGGCCTACTTTTTCTTCTATTATACACAGTCTCTGGTTTAATCCCTAATTCTTGATCCATTTTGAGAACTTTTGCGCATAGTGAGAGATAGGGATTCAATTTCATTTTGTTGCGTATGGATTTCCAGTTTTCCCAGCACCATTTGTTGAAGATGCTATCCTTTCTCCAGTGCATGCTTTTGGCACCTTTGTTTAATATAAGGTAGTTGGAATTTTATGGGTTAGTCTCCGTGTCCTCTATTCTGTACCATAGGTCTACCAGCCTGTTTGGGTGCCAGTACCATGCTGTTTTTGTTACTGTTGCTCTGTAGTATAGTTTAAGGTCTGCTATAGTAATACCACCTGTTTCACTCTTCCTGCTTAGAATTGCTTTAGCTATTCTGGGTCACTTATTTTTCCAGATGAATTTCATGATTACTTTTTCTATTTCACTCATTCTATTATTAAGCTCTTATATGTACCAAGTGCAGTGGACACAGCCAAGCCTGGATTCTAAACCCACACTTTCAGATATCAGCAAAGCAGCTACATTCTCCTGCCCAAGAAACAAATAGAGATAATTTAGCATTTTCTAAAAATATCTTAATCTTCACCATGGGACATTAAGAACTTTCTTTAATTCACATTATGATTTTGAGTTATATGGGTTAACGCACCACAAATTTTCTGTGCCAAGGTCTCTAAAGACCTTAATTGGGGGCTGGGGCTGTAGCTCAGTGGCAGGGTCCTTGCCCAGCATGTGTGAGGCACTGGGGTCAATCCTTAGCACCACATAAAAATAAAAAAAAGCATTCTGTCCAACCACAAGTTTTTTTTTTTTTTTAAAAAAGATCTTAATTGGGCCTTGACGATAGCTAGGTTCATATGTTATATGAACATATATGTGTGTGTGTGGTATGTGTATATATATATATATATATTTTTGGTACTGGGAATTGAACCCAGGGGTGCTTGACTTCTGAGCAACCCCCCCAGGCCTTTCTGTTATTTTTTTTTAAATTTTGAGACAGGGTCTCACTAAGTTGCTTAGAGTGTAGGTAAGTTGCCAATGCTAGCTTTGAACTTGCAATTCTCTAATCAGAGCCTCCCAAGCCACTGGGGTTACAGGCATGTGCCATCATGCCCGACCTCTTATTAATCTAATGCAGTGTACTTTCTGCATTTAAAAACTTTTGTTACTATTTTTTTGTGGTACTGATGATTAAACTCATGGCCTCACGCTTGCTAGGGAAGCATTCTACCTCGGAGCTACATCCTTAGACCCTAAAAACTGTTTTTTCTTTTAAAAAAAATATCCATTGACTTCACTAGATTGACAGAGATCTATGACACTAAAAAGGTTAAACCTTATGTTTTAGAGGGCCACAATCATCATTGTACTTCCAGGGTCTTGTACTTGGTACTTACTCAAAACATAGCTACAGCATCAAACAGATTTAGAAATGATTGAAACTGTGCTCCCCAAATATTGCTACTTTAGATGTCTATAATAGAGTACTGTAGTGCTGCTTCTTATTAAAAAACATTTTAATGCTTTAGTAGAATCATGGAATAAACTACAGAATTTATAATTTCCCTAAAAGAACTTCATGTTTCTATATACTCACGTCGTGGTTGGACTGTATTCTTCACTGGATATCTATGCACTTGGAAACACTTAAAATTTTGGCATTTATGTCTTGGTATTGCAGCAAGGATAAGAGAGATTGGAGCACAATAAAAATAAGATTGAATTAGGAAAACACAAATAAAAGGGTGCCTGTATTTAGAGATCTGATTTGGGCAAGCTTTTTACCTTAGTGCTTTCAAGTAAAATTAGGGATTGGGTTAGAAGAATCACCTGGTGAGATTATTAAAAATGCAGATTCCTGAATCTCACTCTCAGATTTTTAAGCAACATATGTAGGTTGAGATAACAAAATCTACATATTAATAATATATTCCAGGAGATTCTAATGCTGGGAGCCTATAGATCGTGCTATAGAACATGACAAAGTACTATATATTTGGTATTCTATTAACTGCTACCATATTTTAAAGTTAAAGAAGCTGATTCAAAGTTTATTTGCCTAAGATGACACTACAGTTGCTAACCATTTGAGCAGGAATCAAGAACCCAGTTTTGACTCTAAAGCAGTTCTCATTTAGCTTTGTCTTCGAAGTTTCAACATTCAAGTAGACCATAGAGGTTGAATTCACTTTAGGTATCTGCAGATCAGATCCTGAAAATTGTTATATTAGTCAATCAATACTCACCATATTTGTCTCTAAATTGTATAATCCTTCAGTTAATTGTAAATCATGTGTACACACACACACACACACACTTTACAAAACATATAAAGCATACTTTACTAAGCAAGGTATCTGGCTGATACCTTAAAACTGAGGGGATACTGCTTTCTAGCACCTAAGGCAGAGATAGTGTCATGATGAAAAAACCAAAACTTTTTTTTTTAGTTGTAGATGGACACAATACCTTTATTCATTTTTATGTGGTGCTGAAGATTGAACCCAGTGCCTCACATGTACTAGGCAAGTGCTGTACCACTGAGCCACAACACCAGCCCTGAATGTTTTTCAGTGAACCCTCATGAAGTTATTTTTGTCTCAAAAGAACGGTCTCATTTATTCATCAGTATTTCCACTTAGATGAAACTGAGGCATAAAAAACTTGCTCAAAGTCAACAGTGACAGAAATGTCATTTCAATCCAGGCCAACTGGCTCTGCAGTCTATGTTCTAAGATATACTGTACCATTCTGCCTTTTGAGTATTAAGCATTTTCATGTATTTCCTTAGCTCTCAAGAAAACTCAATGAAGTAGGCATATTTTTTCCTTATAGGATTTAAAGTCTCATAATGGACATGCCCAAGTCTTACAGTATTGAGATTCAAAGCCTCATTCAATGACCAAACAAATTTCCCATGACCACATGAAGATGATCTTAAGATTACAGTATATGTAGCCTGTATTTTATTTTGACCTCAACTGGTATATGAATATTTTAATAACATGTCCCTACCAGTGTTACCAGAGGAATTGAGCACAGGGCTTATGCATGCCAGGGAAGCACTCTACCACATTCCCAGCCCTTATAAACTGTTCAATATCATTTTAAGTTAACTCCACCATAGCTCTGATACACCCTAAAAATTAAGGCTACAGTGGACTATATATGACTTTTGAGCCTCTACTTAGGTTCAGAACAAATTATATGAAGCTTACCTCTTATCTCAAACGACTGAGGAGGTATTAAGTTAATAATTAACATAAGAACTAATTACCTTCAAATCAACTTAGAAATAGTGGTGTGAAATAGTTCTCCAAATCTGGGTAATTTTGGGCCCATGGCTATAAGCAGTTAAATTTATTATTTTCATGCCTTTCCCTCTCTCTGAACAGTTGAAATGGTAGGGCTGCTGGATTCAGTCAGGAATAGATGCTAGCCTGGACAAAGTTAGGCTTTAGCTTAAATTTTTGAGATCTGGGAATTTACTCCAGATATATGAGATCTTGCAGCTTTCATTGTAGTTCAAAATGTCTTATTTTACAGCAGAGAACAATCAACTGGCAAACATTTTCAAGTCTCCAGTGTATTCCTCCTTATGTGTATCTCCTGAGAAATCATATTTGAACATACTGGGTTATACTGCCAGGATCTAGTTAACAAGCAACGTCCTCTAATATATTTAAAAAATTATATTGAACTTGTCTAAGCTGCTCCCTTCTTTGCTGACTCCTGTTTATTCGCCAGTTAAATCTCTTAGAAAATAATGGGGTGAGACTGACTTCAAATAGTGGAAAAGTTAATTCTTAATTATGTTAGAATTGACTTTTTTTTTTTGGTGGTGCTAGGAACTGAATTTAGGGCCCTGTGCATGCAAGGCAAGCACTATACCAACTGAGGTATATCCTTAGCACTGATTCCCTACTTTTTGAGGAGGGCTTTGTTACCTTATCAACTGCTTTTCTCCATATGCATTTTTCTTCATCTATATCAGATATCTACTCCCCTATGTAAAAGGGTCTATAAGTGTAGCTGAACTGGGCATGATGGCACATGCCTGTAATCCCAGTGGCTCAGGAGGCTGAGGCAGGTGGATCACAAGTTCAAAGTCAGCCTCAAAAATTTAGTGAGGCCATGTCTCTAAAAAGGGCTGAGGATGAGGAAGTGGGCCAGAGGTTAAGCACCTCTGGGATTTAATCTCTGGTACCAAAAAAAAAAAAAAAAAAGTACCTAAGCAGGAACAGACAAGTCCTGATTAAGTCAAACTTCCTAGTCAAATGGATACAACTATTTTCTCTAACAGTGGTTGTGAAGACCCCAGAAGAAAAACAAAATGAAAAATAATTTTAGAAAAGACACCCAAACATGAACACTGAAGAGAGACGTCCATGGGACTGGAAGGCAAGAAAGACACATAACGTACAACATTAAAGATGTGCAGAATACAGAGTTGGAATTGAGATTCTCTTGTATGTAGATTGCCAAAGGTAAACAAGTAAAAGCTGTAAAATTGTTAGTATTGCAACAAAATATTATGTGACCAGTGAAGACCAGATCTTACATATATGAAACATACTGTTTACAGTATTGAAGTTATAATGCAAATATTCTTGTCAAATTACCTGCACCACTATCCTTAAGGCAAAAACAAAATCCTTGGATAACTTTTATTTCAGCATGATTAAAAAAAAAAAAAAAAAAAGAAAAAACTTTTTGTTTTCTTGTTTGCAGTAATGGTTGCACAACATGAACAAATTTAACACCCAGTGGATTGCACACATTAAATGGCTGGACAGAGGAATTTCATCTCAAGAAAGCCATTTATAAAAGATTTTAAGATACAACTAAAAGGATTAACCTTAACAGCAAGTTCATGTAGAGAGCACCCTCAAAGATTTGCTAGCAAATTGACTTATGACTATGTATCTACTTACTTCAATTTGAGCATCTCTGCATGTTTGAATTTCCTAAAATGGCTGTTCATAAAACATACTTACATTGATAGCTTCAACTGTATGTACTCAAAGAAATGTTTTCTGGGGCTCCCTTATTACCCAAATCTGCTAAAAACTGAGAACAAAAATCATAGAATAAAGACAGGTCACCTTTTCTGGTTAATCATTAACTATGGATATGTGAACCTCAAATCTTGCTGTTGGAACATTAATCTTCAGTGGTACATTAAACCCAGCAGCTAAACTTGTCAATCCATTATATACACGATGGTTGGGTTACCCAAGAGTAGAAAACATACTCTTTTGTCTTCTTAATATAACTTTTTTCTTGTTGGGTGTGGCACTCCATTCCTGTACTATCAACAACTTAAGATTCTGAGGTAGAATTGCAAGTTCAAGATCACCCTGGGAAATCTAGTGAGACAGTGCCTCAAAAAAAAAACAAAAAACAAAAAACAAAAAACTTAAAAAGGGGTAGGGATGAAGCTCAGTGGTAGACTTCAGGTTCAATCCCCCATACCAAGGGGGATTTTTTTTTTTTTCTTCCTGTTCAGAATTAAAGATCTTCCCTGGAGAAACTCCAGTTACTAAACCTAAACAGCAGGCTTATCTGTAACTACTTGTGAAAATATTGGCTGAAAACCTTTAACTCAATCTAAGGGGAGGTTCTGAAAAGACATTTTTGTAATGTTTTTATTTTCTCCCTTTATGTTTGCTTATTGTCTTGATTACTTTATTTGTTGGTTAGAGTAAGTTTTAATGTAACTGCTGGGCCTGTTATCACCTTTGGGTTATTGGCACTGCATTTCTGGAATTGGTAAGACAATTGCTGAAATGGAAGGGTAGGCAACATAGCAGATGGCAGGTTTTCCAAACTTCATAGGTCAGAATATGAAAAGGATTATTTCAAAATTTGGTAAGGTACAAAGCAATTCTAAATTTAAATTGTCTGAGATTCCAACACTAAAATCAAATATATACTGAAATGTATAAACCCTAGAGTATCATAGGGAAAATAAATCTGGAGCTTAAAAAAATGCGCATAGCACTAAAGATAGAAGGAACTGGATTTCACCTTTAGCTATGCTTCTTACCACTAGTGTGCAGTGTGACCACTAGTAATTTTAAAATTTACTGTGTCCATTTCCTCTTCTGTAGAACACGTCTTAGACAATCTGTAAGATTTCTCATTTCTAAAAAGGGGCCTATATGACTTTAGACCCTGAAACATCAAGAACAATGTTACAATATCAATAATCTAAAAAAATTCTAGATTTAGGGCAAAGGGTTGTTATTTCCAGAAAATTCCCCAAACCAAAATATCATGTTGCCTCTTTCTGAATAACTACCATGATTTTATCAGGGCAATGAGCTCTTACTGGCATTGTGCTATTACTGGGTGTTTCTTATTATTAGGCTTTGTTAGGATTAGGCTAAACCTTCACTCTCAGAAACATCCAGGTAAGTGATGATATGGCAGTACTTTTAAGGTTAACATTGATTTCTTCTCCTCAATTTCAACTGCATTTGCTTCCCAAATGCCAATGTTAAGTTGATCACCAGGTGAATCCCTCATCTACACTTTCAGAAATCACATGGATTAAATCAGCAATTAACTAGTTCTTGCCAAAATCTTTTTGTTATTCCTTGCTTTAGATAATACAAAAACACAAATACAAGATGCAGAAGACTACTCCACCCAAGCCCTGTAGTCACACTTTTAAAGTTCTAAAAATACTCAATAGTTGGTTCCAGTTCAACAGGGATGGATGGGCAGTAGTAATATATTTTTAGATTTTTATAGGCAATCCTGACACTTATCCTTGTTGAAAAAAACCTCTGCTCTAAATGCAACTGACTCAATACTCTTAAATGTGCTACCTATGATACTTGAATGTAGTTTATCTCTTTCCTAATTCAAATTTTAAAATGTTTTTCTAATTCAATGTTTTCCTCAGGCTATTCTTTCAGAAGCTATCATCACAGACCCACAGATATTAATTTGTAAATCAAATTTCTAAAGAGGAGTGTGGAATTTTTCCCCCCCATCAAAGAAAGAATTACATCATGGAGGGGCTGGGATTGTGGCTCAGCAGTGGAGTGCTACCTAGCATGTTCGAGGCGCTGGGTTTGATCCTTAGCATCACATAGCAATAAATAAAATAAAGGCACTGTGTCCCAACTACAACTAAAAAAAAAAAAAAGTTTAAAAGAAAAAAAAGAATTAAATCATGGACAATTTTAAGGATACTAAATACATTCGTTTCATGTATGGCCAGATGTTCAGATGAACAACTTTAAACTTAAAAAAGATATCACTCTTATTTTTCACACATAAGATTTTTGAGCATTCTGTTCCTTTCACCACTATATACTGGCCTTTCACAGTAACTCAAACTAAGGCTGTTGCTTACATAACTGTCTCATAAAATGCACAAGATGTATTAGCTTAAAACATTTCTAGGGTAAGTCAGAGGTCAGAAAAAAAAAAGTAAGCATTTGCTTCTTTCCAACTACTTACCATCAGTATTTGCAAAAGTGTTTCTGAATATTTGTATGAGCCTTGTACATGGTTGTATTCATGGATAAATGACACCAACAATTTACCTTTGTGTAAGAATGAAACAAAGTGACTCATCTTGTGGCTTGTTCCCAGGAACATGACATATGTCGAGTCTTTCAAATTCTGTTTTTACAATTATCATCTGCATACATCTGAAAGACTGTTTCTGCCTGTTTTGGTCATTTTAAATCACTCTTGACTAGCCTTTTTTTTTTTAATAGGAGAAACTATCTGCTCTAATTTTATTACGTCCTAATAGAGATATAGTGCATACCTCCACTAACCCCCCCAAACCACAGTTAATTCTGTTCTCAGAATAAAGTGCAAAAGGGAGAAGTGGGTGGGGGAAGCACAGATAACAGCATTTTCTTTAACCCTTGAGACACCCTCAGAAGGAAATGAAATTTCCCATCTTTCCATAGTGTAGACAGACTCTGGAAAAGAACAAACATACAATTCTGTTTTAGTAACACAATTGGGAAAAAAAATACAGTTCATTTAAGAGACTGGGCAAAATGACTTAAAAGTTCTTAAAGCAATCATACGTATGGAATACCACACACTAAATGAATTCTTAAATAAACTGGCAATCCATGTTAATCAACTTAGCATACACTTCTTTTATCCAAGAACCAGTGTTACTCCGGATCAGTTCACCCGCCCTCGGTAAGCCTATAAATAATATGCCCTTTCAACCTCCCTGCTTTCTCCAGTCAGTGAGTTGTCGTTCAACTGGGTGTTTCTCCTTTAGGCTGCTCCATGTTTTTTTTTCTCATCTTCAAGGCCAAAGCAATGTTCCCTTCTAGCCCGTACCTTCCAATAACGGGTTTCTTTTAAGACCTTTGCAAATCACTTCCGTATGAGAAATAAGTGAAGGCCCAAACCTAGTAGAGGGGGCATTATTGTTGCAAATAAATAGCAAGAAGACATAAATAAGGACAAAGTTTCTCCCAACTCCTTGGGTGGAAGCCGGCTTCTCCATCTAAAGGCGCGCGGTTCGCCGCCAGCACCTCAGCAGAGGCACCCACCGCGACGGTCCTGCTAGCCAGTCTAAGGGAGCCTCCACTCCCAGAAGCAAAACAACTCCCTGAATCCCTTAGAAAATGGGGCGGGAGGCGTGGGGCTCCATGCAACCCTGCAGGACCGTGAGGCGGAGGCTCACTTGGCCTCCATAAAGATGCCACCCCCAGTTGGACCCGCAGGACATCAGTTCCCAGGGCGGCTTCCACCCGGCTCCCCACCGGATCGGGGCCCAAGGCTCTCCCTTCGGCTTACTCTCCACCTCACCGTCCCCACCGCACCACCACTCGGATCCCGCGCTCCCTGAACCTCCGCGCGGCTCCGCGGAGTCCTCCCGGCACTCCTAACATGGCGGCCGAGTCGCCTCCGCTCCCTCGCTCGGGCGCGTCCGACCTTGGCGCATTTTGGGCTTTGTAGTTCCGGAGGTAGACTCGGTGTCTCTCCCAGACGCAAGAAGACTACCATACCCAGAATGCACCTCTCCCGAGCATGGCTATTGGGGCCGCTTTGGACAGAGGGATGATGTCATTGCAAAAACCCCACTGCATTCATTGTGCTACGGTCTATCCACCCCCCTACTGCTGCTGGGCTTGCGATTGCCGCTCGCTCCAGCTGAGCTCAGAGTAGCAGCAGCACTAGGGCAGGGACCGACTCCAGCCCTTGGACTTAGGACATCGCAGTACCTTTCCTTGCGTGCGTGACTCTTTCGCACATCATTTCTGTTTATGCCTGGGGTGGGGAGAAAAATCCCAAACCAGGTGAGTTAAAGTGATTTATTCAAATGGTCCTCCCAAGTTATTCCTCCCGCTTAGTTCTTAAGGCTTTCTTTTGGGAAGATGGGGGCGGGGGGAATTGGAGGTTCTCACGGGCGCTGCTAAGGGAAAAGCTCTGTGCAATTTGGGTCACTGCAAAGAACTCCAGTAACGTACACCCGCCAGAGGACCGGTGCCTGCCAATTCCCTAGTCGCAACTCCCCTCAACCTTTTGAGGCTGGCAGAGGGGGCTGGGCTGGGAAGGATGTTGGGAAGTGCTCTTGGAAAATCAGAGGAGGGCAGAGGTGGGGGACTGCAGTCCTGTCACAGCCCGAGTGCTGAGGTTTGAGTGGGAAGGGGTGATGCGTGGGGAGAAATGGAGACAGTGATTTAATGTGGTCGCACTACTTTAGAACATTTATATGTCGCTTGGACGAGCACACAGTATTCATTTTAAAGAGGTGTATGTTTCTTTTTGAGCAGCTTAAGTTTCGTAGGGCTTTATTTTATGTGTGTATGCCTATGCCGTCTGTCTCTCCTTTTCTGCTGATTTGAGGTGACAGTGTCCTTTAATGGTGCACTCCGTGCTAGTCAGGAACATTTCACGTGTCTGAGGAAGGTTCTGTTAGGCTGCTGGAAGCAGCATTTTAAAGTGTTCTCCGTTCTCCTGACTGCAGGATTCGGGATTGTTTGGAAGTGGAGCCGACAGATTTGTGCTTGTGTGAGTGTTTTAAATTACATTGCAATAGGCTCCTTGCCACTGACAATGGTACCATAATGAGCTGCTGTTTCCCGAGGCACAGTCACCACTCACAAATAACGGTTTGCAGACGGGATCGATTAGGGAAACCTGGGTTTATTTTAACACGTTAGGGAAAGGGAAAGTTAGTGTTATCAACCTTCATTTGCCATTGCTGATAGGAAGAGTGATCATGGCCAGGGAAACCGAGGAGCATAGTGGTGTTGTGCTCAGTTTGATGGTATTGGTTGTTTTTAAACAAACTAACACATTTAATTGGGGAATAAAAGCATACAGAGCTTGTATGATGTTGGCTGTCTTTTAAGAGGTAAAGAGATGATCAGTGCAATAAATGTTACTTTGAGATAAACAGCTGGCAGACTCTAGAACAGATGGGGCCAGTCTTAACAGAGAGATTTACAACCTTGGAAATGAATGGACCTGGGGTCAACCACACCCCCTCTTGGAATGTCAAAAGAAGGAGAAATGCCAGAGTATTTGCTTAACTCTAAAATGCTAAACCTTTTCACAGCTGAGTCGGGGATTGGGGAAAGTCATTACTAGCTGTCTTCTGCTGTAGTAAACCAATTTTGTTCATATTTTCATTAAGACCCTTTGGTCTTGAAAGTTGCAGATGGATGATACTTGGTTAAATGCTGTGTGTTACTGAATACAAAGACAATCCATTGTATGGACTTTGTAGTAGAATGATTTATTGGGATGCAATGATCAGCTTTTGGAATAGGGAAAAGATCCATCAGCCTGCCTTTGCCTCTTCCCACATCTCTTGTTGCTTACTCTGCTCTTGCAGAGAACCTACCCTTTTCTTCTATACCTTCCTTCTTAGCCTACCCCACCCACATCTCTTGAAATTGTTTCTTTCCCTATTTGTGCTTCACATTTTCCCTGTTTTAGAATTTCCCCTTTATTCTCAATATATCACACCTCTTTCTCTAAGTCTCTTTTCACCTCAGAATACCCTCCCCATCCTCCTTCCCCTCACTCAGGAACCTCAGGGTGAATATAGACTGTGTGGATAGTTATTGAGTCCTCTTTGAAGAGGCTTTAGCTATTCTTTTTTCTTGCAATCTGTACTTGGCAAGATGACCAGCATCTAACCTGACCCTTGGCCTGGTTTGTGGTTTCTGTAATAGACATGGTCTTGTCCCAGCAGCTTGTGGACAATGAAATGTTGCTGCTGAGTTCATGCCACTTTTTCTTTTGCTGGCACCTGCAAAAGAAAAGTTTTCTTCAACTGCCAATGTACTGGTGAGGTGGGACACACATATAATCCAACTTGAGAAGCTGAGGCAGGAGGATGCAAATTTGAGATCATCCTGGGCAAGTTAGCCAAATGCCATTGAAAAAAAATTAAAGGGACTGGGGGTGTGGCTCAGCAGTACAGTGCTCCTGGGTTCAGTCCTCAGTACCAAGAAACGAAAAACGAAAACTGCCAATGGGTTAGCAAATTTTTGAATAGTTTTCAAATAGCTTCTACCTTACTGATACACTTTTTAATTTTCTTATCCCTGCTTCAGTAAGTGGTGGGAATGGGAAGACTGTTTTCCCCCTTGTTGTTTCTTGTTGATTATTAAGGGGCAATCAGGGACCAAACTGCCCATTTGTTTTTTGAAGGTACTTGGAAGTGCAACAGCTTTCTTCCTGTTATTTCTTCCCATATTGGAGGAAAGTTTTGTTATTTTATAGCCCACTTGTAGGAAAAGGGTGGTAGTTGTGTTACTTTGCTTAACAGTAGTGTTTCTTCAAGGCTTGGCAAGTCTAACTGCTGACTCTTTGAAGGCAACTATTATGATAGGAAGATTCAAGCTGTCATTCAGGATGTCTCTTGCACCCTGACCAACTACACATTTCTTTTTAGTTTACATATTCACAAAGGGATAATGATCGTTGCAGTTTGGTTTACTTGGCTGATGTTATAGCCCTCCATGATCTGACCCCAAACTATACTGACAGCATAGTAGTTAAGCAGTTATTCTGTGTCAACACAATGTGAAATGAAATGTGAAAATAAATGCTTCTCTTGTCCTTATAGAGCTTATATTCTAACAAGAGAGACAATCCTTGAACAATTGTAGGTGTGATAAATGTTTCTTCCAAAGGAGAATGTGTGCTAAGATGGTGTTCCTCTTGTCTGGGGCAACCGGGGATGGTATCCTGTTGGAAATGACACTTCCAAACACTTAAAAAGGGAGTGGAAGTAATTCAGAATGACCATGAGAGGTGCTTAGAAGGGAGTGAAGAGCGTTTCTGGCAGAAGGAACTTCATGGTCAAAGTACAAAGGAATGGGGGTGAGCAAGGGGACAGAGACCAAAATGAGGAAGAATGAGATTGGAGAGATGGACAGAGGCTCTGGAGTGGAGGTTTTCTGAGCTACAGGTAAATTTTTGTCTTTATTTTAAGGGCAATGGGGGCTTTAATTAGCCGGATGAATGACATGTGGAATAGTAAAAAGTCATCCTGACTGTTAAGAAGAGATTGGAGGAAAGGATTGGTTGGAGTGAGTATGTGGAAACACATATATTTTAAGTGTATTTATTCCACTAAGTTATACTGATCCCCAGGTGTATGTGCTCCATGCTAGAAATATGGCATTGATAATGTTCGTTTTGGAGGAATTCACCAAAGTGAGGAAGACAAACAAATAATCACATATGGGGAAGTATTTAGGCAATGCTAAGAGAGCACAACCCCACAGGAGGTGTCCTTTCTTATGGATGGGGATGTCCACAAATTGGCAGGTAGCTTTTGACCTTAAACATGAAGGCAAGAAACAGTGTGGTCCCAGGCACCTAAGAGAGTGCCTTCTACAAATTAGGGACTGTGAATGTTTGTCGACTAAGTTTCTAAGGGCCTCTTCAAAAGCAGGAAATATCAACACATTGGAAGAGGGCAATTAGTAATAATGCAAATGTCAAATGTAAAGTGCTTTTAACAAATCAATTCCTGAGACCTGCAGCCTTTGAGTTGTTTTGTGGATTACTTTTAGGGAAATTCAGAAATATTTCAGTTCTGTTTTTTTTTTTTTTGGGGGGGGTGCTTAACTTCTTTGATTCAAGTTTCTCAAAAAGCATTCTAATTGCATAAAGATCCCTAAATCAGTGGATCTCAGTTTTTTGAGATTTATAGATAAGAAAAATCACAAACAAATAAAACAATAAAGTTAGGTGGGCTGTTGACAAGTTATTTTCTTGGCTGTGGTAGAAATGTTGCTCATTATTAAATAAGAACATTTCCAAGTTTAGAGGAGTTTTTTTTTTTGATACACAGAGAATTGGGGGAGGTACTGTGCATTGAAGCCAGGTGCTTTACCACTGAGCTATATCTCACCACCACCTCCCCACCGCCCTTTTTCTTTTCTTTTTTTTCTATTTTGAGACTGGGTCTTGCTAAGTTGCTGAGACTGGCCTCACATTTGCAGTTCTCCTGCCTTAGCCTCCTGAGTTGCTGGGTTTACAGGTGGGCGCCACTAAACCTGTCCACAGATACTTTATTTTCAGTTTCTTCTTTATAGGAATCTAACCCTTGAGCACTAGGTAGACTTCTTCAAGATTAGTCTAACATAGGGGATCCTGACTGGTCCCTGGAAGGTTCTCAGGGAGATTATGACTCATGAGTTCACATATTGAATTGTGTGTGTACGTGTTCATGTGCTGAAATTCACATGAGCATCCTGCATTTTTCTATCACTATGTGTGTGTCCTTGGGCAAATTACTTGCCCTCTTTGAACCTCTGTTGCTTTGTAAAATTGTTGTGAGGATTAAATGAGAATGTATTTTAAATGTCTGGCACTATGCCTGGTGGAGCTGGTGCTCATGGCAGCTATTTCTGACATTATATTTATTGATGATTTTTAACATTTTATTTATTGGGTGATGCT